TTCAGAGCACTCCGGCAAATATGTCAGGCGCTAAAGGTGCAGACACACCAAACCGACATCAAAGAACTAGCGGCGACGAAAGCCAACTGTTGCCTCGTCTACGTCGCCTCACGCCACCCTGTGTCAGTTGCATTTGAACACACTACACAGACTACATCCGACGGCCAAGTGGCACGTACGTTCTGCGCCCGCGTGAGAGAGAGCGGAGTGAGAGAGTGGTACATCCTGTCAGCCGAGGGGTTTCCTATCTGTGCAGCTGAGCACCGCAGCACCTCCACGGACTATTACATCCAGACGGTCCTGGTGTTTCCTCCACAGGCTCCACTTCACTCAGCTGCCCGATAAACCCGCTGCTTCTTCCCACTTTAACCTGAATAACAAACCAGGGCTCGGTGCTCCGGTTGGATCCAAAGGGAGAGCCGGGGCTAGCTCAGAGGCTAGCGGAGGCTAACTGGCTGGCCTGGTTTCACTACAGGCAGATTCACTCTCTACAGGGGCGAGGGAATAAAATCTGAACAGCCAACCGACGAGCTCCGCCGCCGATTCAACATGCTCAATCAGCTGAAAAGCCGCCGACGCTGAAGGGCCAATGGTGCGGGACACACCGCAAAAACTAGGCTGACAGACGCTCACCGACGGCCCGACTTTGGTCGACGGCTGACCGTCAGCTTAGTGTGTCAGGGCCTTAAGAACAATGCAACACAAAAATCGCAAGCAAAAAGTTTCATTCTCTTTAAAAACAATCACAAAAAGCCGCTTGTAGCCACATTCTCTGTGGTCTGGACCTTAATCAGTACAGAATAAGAACCTGTGCTGCAATTTGTCTGTGGCTTAGGGATGGCAAAACTTTTCTAAAGAAAAGGCTCATTATTTTAAGAAAAGGAAAACGAAGAAGAAGAAAATAAATAAAGATGAGGACTTAGTGCCTTCTTGTGGCAGCGATAAAACAGCTACTTTTCTGAGTGGAAAGGATCATCTTTAAATTAAAATGAATAAATAAATACATAAATGACTAAAACAAAAGGAATGAGTCTTTACCTACAGATTATATTGTTGTGTGAATGTGACTTGGTATTCAAGCAAGACATCTCAGCTTCACATTCACAGTTGCTGGCTCAGGTACCATCTGATGCATGATGCAGAGAGTTCCTGGGATTTATTGGCCTGTGTGTTCATGAATGATACTGGAACACAGGAGAGACCTCTGCACTCCTCATTCATAGTCTCCTCAGGACACGCTCTAATCCTCAGATGAACGGGGGGCTCAGCTGACCCAAACCTGACCTGTCTCTTTGTCCTCGGGATGAAAATGATCTAACCAGCCTCCTGCTCAATTGGGTCTTACAGCAGGAGTGAAGATAAGCAACCAAACCAATTAGCAGCAACCCACTGAGTCCATGAACACTGCAGCTGACATGCTTGTGACCAAATCTCTTTGCTGTTAAAGTCACTGTTTTAATATATATTATTTTACAGTCCACTGGCAGCAAAGAAAGCCATGTACAAGTTGACAAGTCTTGCTACTTGAAAGCATTTGTTATTGTTTCTGGCGTAGCCTTTCTCCGTGCTTTTATTTGATTTTATAAAGCCATTTTCTGTTTTCTTGCCTTAGGAAACACCTGTGAAATCAGTCCAACCGCTCTGGCAACATGACAATATGTGGCAGAATATAGCTGACTGCTCTGCGCCTTTGTATTTATTCGCACCAGTAAAACGGAGCCAGCACAAAGAGGCAACCGGCTCCCATCCCACCCCCAAACAGATGCTGCCTAGGCCTGTTTTCAGGAGAAGCACCTGTGCGTTTCTACTCCGCTTCACTTAGTTAAAACACCAGTTAACTCAGGAGAGACTTGTCTAAAAAAAAAAAAACTTATTTATTTACATGTGCACATAAGTATGAGAAATGTGAAAAGATGTCATGATGTCATCTGTTCCAAGAGGGTGGTAAAGACGAAGTAGAATAGGGATCCCCCCAAGTCTAGACAAGAAGAAGATGGAGCCGAGGATCTGGATGTGAAGAGGAATGGGCTCTGGATAAGGTGACTGGAGGTGAATGGGGTGGAGGAGGGCACAACAATTCCACGAAAAATGACAGCTGACAGGAGCTGACATGAGAACAGATTTAAAGTTCGGCACCAGCAACATGGCTGAAGAAGATTGTGGCAAAGTTTGATAGGCAAACCAGGAGAGGGAAAGCCCATTGTCAGCTGATTGGTGGACGTGGTGGGAATGGGATGAAGAAAGTCTTCCTGATTGAACTTACATTATACTAATGAATCTCAATGTAACACAGTACATTTACACAAGTACTGCACTGAAGGACAATTTTAGTGTAATATGAGTATCTACATTTTATGTTGCATTAGAGTTATTTTCCTCTCTGTTCAGAGAAAACATTATTTCCCCCTCTGCTTTATTTATCTTGCAGCTATTTTACTGGAAACTTCTGCACTTTGAGGGTGATTCTGATATTTGTCAATCTAGATATTCACACCGGATTTCTGATATTAATGAGAAGCTGTGGCTCGCTTTGTGTGCATTATAAAGTACCGACAGCAGATGTGAGAAGATGGTTCCTGCCTGCAAGTTTAAAAAATAGAGCTAATAAATAGACACTCAATACTTCTCATCAACAGCCATGATAAAGACTCTGGCTGTAGCTTATTTGTTCTACTTATAAGAGTATCCAGGAACTATGTCTGGCAGACTACTGTGGAGGCAGCAAAGGTTGGATCCAACTTGTCAAATGAAGTTGCAGTTATCACTGACAGCTATGGGGAAGGGGGTTTTTCCAGGGACTACTTTTGGTGATTACTTTCTTTGGACTTGAAGTGTGTGAGATGCTTTCTGTTAAAGGTTGGGGGTTATATGTGCATTTACAGCATGTTACATTTTATACTTCTGTACCTAGAACTCTATTGTTGCCCTAAATCTTTTAAAAACATAAAAGTCACAGTGTTGCACGGAGTCACATGTTCCTTCATCTAATTTGTTTGTATGATATCCAACAAATGATCACGCCTCTAATGGCATTGTCATGTTACACAGCTAACATAAAGTTACATAAATTACCTCAGTTCAATTGGTCTCACACGGGACACAAACTCTGGTCTCCTGGGGGAAAGTCCTGTGCTTGTTTGACCCATCCATCACCCCGACCTGCCTCATGACACAGGCTTTCGCTCTTTAAACTTTCTTCTCTACTCCTGTCAGCACTGGTCACTTGATTGCAGCCTTGGCAATAACTTACCGGCTCACGATTATGTGGGTTATACAAAAATTCTGCCGATTACTTTTTGTAGGTACATGTACAAACATACAACGTGCATATGAACAGCCTGCTTCATTACCATGAACATAAACACACAAACACACATGAACACCTTGGGCTCTAGTTTCCCGGCGTGGCGCAGGGTGGGGCAGGGTGGCGAACCCCGCGCAGAGCTAGTTTCTAGCAGCACGACCCGAGGCGCGCTCAGTTTGGCAGGCCGAAACTGCCAAACTGGTGCACTGAGATGGGTGTGGCGGCGCAGCAGGGGGAGGTGTCGACAGATCCAGCTTGGCGCAGTGACAGTTTCGTGCCAAAAGGCTTCGCCAAAGGTGCGCTAAAAGCTTGCCAGCTGAAACCAGGTCTACTGTCAGCACAGGCGGAGCGCAGCCGGTGTAAGTGGAAGTTTGGCTGACCGGCGGACAGTGCGCACACGTCACCAAAACCTCACAGGCAGGTTTCCAGAATATCAGGCACATTAACAATGCAATAAATAGCCAAAAAACCACTATTCAATGCAACTATCTGCAATCAGCACATAAATATGTCTCTATATCGACTGTCCCGTCACATCTGATGTCAGATCAAAGGGGATTGGCACCGTTTGGCACGCGTAATGGAAACCCAACCTGATTTGATTAACACAGCTGCAAACTAATTAGTTCACATCCCTCTCAGCCAACCACAAACAGCCACAGCATCAGATAGGGAGTATTTATTCAGCATCTGTCATCTTAGAAAAGTCAAAAGAAAAGAAACACAGTGAGACTGTGAGAGAGAAAGAGCACGCACGCACGAGAGAAATGCAACATTGATTTACAATTGTGGTGACCTCCTCCCAGGCTACCTTTGCATCATCAACCCGTGGACGTCTGCTCGCAGTTCCGTATATTTGGACACTGCGAGCTTGGACCTCCCGGACCAAAACATCAGTTTCCTCCTGGGAGGAGTTTGGCCGTCTGACGCTGCTGCTCTCTTCTGCCATGGTGAATTGAGTAAACTCTCATTACGCCTTCGCGCGGCGCATTTAAGGGCGAGGAGAGGGGCTCATTTGATTGGTGTGATGTGTGTAAAACCCACTCCACGCCTTCTCTCCTCCCTCTTTGCAACTTGCGCAGGTAGGAGGGACGGAGGTGGGAAAGAGGAGTAGCTGCGCCAGCACGCACAGTGTGCCAAACTTACAAAATCCACCTGGCCACACCCAGTTGGCGAAGCGTAGGTGCGCTGCGCATCCGCCTCGCCCGGTCTGTGAAACTAGAGCCCCATATGTCATTGTGACTCAATTCCACATACACAGTCTTGCTAACAGAAATACTCCATAGTACAACAAATATGTTTCAATCTGCAACTGGAAATCAAACAAACAAATAAAAAGACTAATGCACTATTTCCTCCTGTTTGAACAACATTTGCTAAAATCTACAGTGCTGATCATTGGTATTGCTCCCACAGTCCCTACAATTGAGGTAGTGAGTTAAATGTTATCATGACCTTTAGACATAATGGACACAAATAACACCAAATATGAGAATATTTCCTTGCCGTTAAAGTTTACTGCAGGGCACCTACTTTTGATGAGCATGTAAAAATTGTTGTTTTTCTACTTTAGTACTTCTTCCACCACTGGTACAGCATTATGCAGTTTCACTCAAGCAGACATGCAGTATAGGAATAAACACACATCAAACTTCAAGCATGCACAGATTACAGACAGAAACACATACACACTCACCTCAGTGTATGAGTGTGCTGATTCGGAGTTTCTGACAGGGTCCGAGGGATTTCTCTAATCACCTGAGATGAGGAGGTAGAAAGATATGGTCAGCATGTGAAGGATGGGCCGACTCTAAGCTGATCATCTTCTCCCAGGCCCATATTATTATTTCCCAAGTTTCTCCAATTAGGGAGTGCTGATGTGGGATCAGTGCGCAGATCTCCCACAGTCATTGCTTTCATTACGGAGAGAAAGGGCAGAACCGGGAAGAACCAAGGGACCGGATCAGCAGAATTCCTCAAAAATCCTTCTCAAATGAAGCTTCACGGAGCTCTGGAGGTCGTTTCAACTCTCTGAGCCCTCGTTTCAGATAAAGTTGTGCTGTGTGGACTTTTGTTGTGTTTTTGTGTTAAATCACTGCAGCCAGCGTGTGCATATTAAAAAAGTGCAAAACCTATTCATCACCTGTAGTGCCCTCGCTGTTGTGTCGATGCTGCTATACAGTATTGACTTAAATGTCGGCGCTTTTTACCTGGCAAGTTCTCTGCTGGTTTTTTCACTGGTTCTAAGAGTCGGAAAGTTTTACTAAAGTACTGCCAAGTAAATTACACTAATTTGAAACTGTCTGTTAAAATGGCATCACGTGTTATCTTCTTCAGTGGTGTAAACTTGAGAATTAAAGTAACTGATTGAGTTTCCTTTCCCACACACTGTGTTCAGGATGAATCGCTGTGTTAAGAGTAATTCTGACATTCAATAATGTGGCATTGACATTATACACTCAACAAAGCTCTTTAACATTTAACAGAATAAAAAGAACTATCACAATGTTGTTACACTGAGGGTCTGAAAATAGTGTAATACCCGGAGTCGGCTTATTGTCTCATTAGACAATAAATGAGCCACAATAATTAGAAATCATAAAGTGCTTACGTCAACATTTTAGAACTTGTGAAACTATACAAAGAACTTTGTCAGTCCAAATTAAAAACAGATTTACAGTCCTCTCTTCAAAATAGAAATAAATATATAACAGCGATGCTACTGCCAGAGACCAGTGTGTAATAAGATGGAAGAAGAAGAGGAAAGTGAGAGGTGGTAGACGCTCAGCAGCTTCATCAATGTGCCTACACAATCAAAATCTTTATCTTGAAACTAATGCAGGTATATAATGTTCGCACAGATTCATAAGCACAGCAAGGAAAACAATGTAAAATGACCACTCACATCAATACTAGACTTTTACTGCTCTGTAGAAATTCAGGAAATACATTGCTCAAAAAAATTAAGCAAACACTTAATGGTCACAGTCTAACACCAAGTCAGTTAAACCTCAGGGATCTCAATCAGTCCACTTAGGAAGCACAAGTGATCGTGAATCAGTTTCAGCTGCTTTGGCGCAAATGAAAGTGACAACAGGTGCAATGGTCTCCTGGTATTGGTTTTACATGTGGGGCTTATCCTTCCTGACTGATTCTTCTCTAGGTTTGTGTTCTGCTAGTGTCCTTGTCACTACTGGTAGCATGAGGCGGTACCTGCAGCCCAATCGGGTTGCACAGGTAGTCCAGCTCCTCCAGGATGGCACATCCATATGTGCGGTTGCAAGAAGGTTTGCTGTGTCTCCCAGCACAGTCTCAAGAGCATGGAGGAGATACCAGGATACCGGTTGTTACACAAGGGGAGCTGGACAGGGCTGTAGAAGGGCATCAACCCAGCAGCAGGACTGGCATCTGCTGCCAGAGCCCTACAGAATGACCTCCAGCAGGCTACTGGTGTGCATGTTTCTGACCACACTGTCAGAAGCAGACTCCATGAGGGTGGCTGAGGGGCCTGGCGTCCTCTAGTGGGACCTGTGCTCACAGCTCAGCACCGTGCAACTCAGTTGCCACAGGCTGTCCAGGATCTCCCTGGTGCCTTAATCCAGGTCTGGGAGGAGACTCCCCAGGACACCTTCCGCTGACTCATCAGGAGCATGTCCAGATGTCATAGGGAGGGCGTACAGGCATACAGGGGTCATACCCTCTACTGAGTCACATTATAAATTGCCGTGACAAAATTCACACAAGTGGGATCAGCCTGTGATTTCAATATTTTTTACTTTGATTTTCGGTGTGATTTTGAATCCAGCCCTTGATAATTTTGGTTTCCATCGATTGTTGTTTCGTCATTTTGTTCTCAACAAGTTATACAATGTACATCAGTAAAGATTTTTAACTTGAATAATTCATTCAATAAGATCCGATGTGTGATTTAAGTGTTCCCTAAAATTTTTTGAGCTGTGTACTTTTCTTTGTTTTTTTTATTTTTTTATTTGCTTTTATTTGCTCTGCCGTATATTCATTTATCTATCTAATATTGTTAATAAATGCAGCTCAGGGTGCAGCTTGCAGCAGGTGGAAGACAAGTCATGCATTTGAATATCAACAGCAGCACTATAGTCCTGTGATACTGAAGTGAGATGAAGATGAGGTGAAGCTGAGGGCTGCAAAAACATTTTCCATCAGCAAATCCAGTGTCAACGTTCAGGGCTGTAATTGACACTGGTGACACACCTGGACTGAGTCTTTAATGATTCCCTTTGAGGGTGGGGAATAAAAGCACTGTGAGAGGAATTAGCGGCTCAGTGGAGCGGAGCCACGTAGCATATGGAGGTTTAAGAAATGTGAATGAATCAGCAGCTTTTACTTAAAGGCAACTCAATGAAAAAGGCTTTGAATCTTATCGAGTTTGAAAAGCGGAGAATCTTTTCAGCAGCCTGTGTGTATTTGCATATGTGAGTACATGTAATGTATATGTAAGTCACTGGGTGTCTTGAAGCGAACAAGTTCAAGTAGCTCAATTTATGTCCCATCCCACCAATCTCGCTACTGTCAGCTCTCACGTGTATTTGCACGAATTGCATACATTACCTTCCTTTAAACCTGACCAGATGGTACAATACATAGTATGTTCCATTAACATAATCTAGTGTTCTCTATGTGAATGCAATCATGTAGGCTACAGTAGCCTGTATCAAACAACTTCTGTGCAGGAACTGCATTTGTCATCATGAATTATTTCATTAACTTGACTAAATTCAGACTTTGCAAGCTGTGACACACAGCAGAGTGTGCTTTCAAAAGAAAACTGGTATTTTTCAGCCTGGTATTTCCCATTTATGTGACCACTGTGAGGTTTCCTGCAGCTTTACAAATAAACATAATTTTTACATGAAATATTTCAACACTTGTCTCCGAGTCTGACTGAAAGTAGAAGATTAGCAGCCCCTTGGAATGAAATGTATGACCCACAGTGACATCAGTTAGCATGACCCTTAAAGAGTCATAATGGCCTCTTTGCATGGAGGGTTGAAAGATACCGGAAATTTCTGTCAACACTGTCATGTGACACGGTCAACAGCTGTCCGACAAATGACATGATCACCTGAGGATGTGAATGGTCTAGGGGTGTGCGATATGGCCCTAAAATAATATCTAATATATGTTTCTGGGTATTTTTGCAACAATGATATTCTTGACGATTTTGAAAATAGAACATAGAAAATAGAATCGCAACAAAATAAGGGATACAGCTTCACAGTTTGCCTTCAAATATTCAATAAAAACTAAACAAAAATTATCTCTCATTTCTTTCGTTTGTAAACAGTAACTGAGAGTGAGATTCAGATTCTGGATACAATATTCATAGTTCAACAAAATAAAATCTACCACGTATTACACATTTAAAAGGTTTCCAAATACAAAACATAAAATGTACCCTGGGATCTGTGTGATCTGTATATATCTACATCAACAAGCAATTTCTGTCTCTTTTAGCAAAATCCCAAATTACTGAGTTGGTTATTTTTTCACCTGGGGCTTTATTTTTATACTCTGCCATCTCTCCTCTAATCATCACACTGTATCCTGTGACAGACTGTTATGCTACCATAACTATTGCATATTTTGTCACACAGGTTTACATTACCAAAGGTTTAGGACAAAATCACTTGACAACACTGAATCCCGTGTGTGCACAACAAGAGAGGAGAGGGAGAGACGCTGTGCTGCTGCCAGAGGAGCCGCTGAATGAGTTCCTTCTGAGCGGTAACTCGCTATAATTCTGAGAAGTCCGGGGCTGTTCATAAAACATTCAGGATGCCCAGGCCTAACGATGCCACAGTCTATTCCACACTACCGAAGCTGCTCCTCTTTTTGGAACCACCAGTGATTTCTGCCATGCTTGTTGTTGCCGCCGTGGGTAACAGCATGACTTCAATATGTTGACAAGTCGAAATATCGCAAGTATCACAATATCAATTTTTCAGATGATACCAAAAATGATATTGGTATTATCATGAACAAGATGATATGGCACATCCCTGGTGAATACCTGAATACTACATGTGATTGTGGAACATATTCCAAAACTATGGGTATTATGTCATTCTGCTGCTACAGCCTCCGGTGTTTTGGAAAGGTTGTCAACCAGATTCTAGAACCTGGAAACGGCCCCAAGGGCTGTCCACCGACATGGGGCCGTAGACTTTATACGCAAGTCCAGTCAGACAATCAGATCACAGAGGACGCTTATAACAATGCACTCAAAGGGATAGTGCACCCAAAAATGAAAATTCAGCCATTATCTGCTCACCCATATGCCGAAGGAGGCTCAGGTGAAGTTTTAGAGTCCTCACATCTCTTGCAGAGATCCAAGGGGAGAGGAGGTAGCAACACACCTCCACCTAATGGAGGCTGACGGCGACCCAGATTCAAACGTCCAAAAACACATAAATGAAACCACAAAATATCTCCATACTGCTCGTCTGTAGTGATCCAAGTGTCCTGAAGCCCCGACATAAAAAGTTGTTTGGAAAACCATCATCTGAACTCTGTTTTTAGCCTCATTGTAGCCTGTAGCTCTAACTGCCTCTCTGTGCACCACGCTCACGTGTGTGCGCTTGCACTTGGATCACTACGGACGAGCAGTATGGAGATATTTTGTGGTTTCAATTATGTGTTTTTGGACGTTTGAATCTGGGGTGCTGTCAGCCTCCATTAGGTGGAGTTGTGTTGCTACCTCCTCTCCCCTTGGATCCCTG